TTTTTTTTTTAAAAAAATAGAGTAAATATTTTTTTTCACAGTATTAGTTGAATGAAAAAAGATGGTTAAGGAAAGGATCCTAAAAAGATACTTAATAAAATATTTAGATACTCATAAATTGTTAGATTCAATTGAGAAAATTTCAATAAGAAACTTTAGCAAACTGTCAAGAGAATCATATGTTGTAAGATAAATAAATAAATATATGAAAAAATTTTTTTCTCTGTATCTTAAAAAAAATAAAAAATTTAGTTTAGCTTTAATTTTTTTACTGATGATGTATAAAAGAAAGAAATTCATTTGTTTTTTAGAGTAGCATGTAAAGGAATTTTTATTTGAGAGAATTTTTTTTTAAAACAAAAAAAAAAGCAAATTATATATTTTTTTCTATTTTATAATTATAATCAAATCAAATGATTAATAAAATATACATTTTTCACACGAACTGAGGATTTTTTTCAAATCGATATAAACAAATAAGGAGAAAATTTGTTTGTTTATTTCTTTTTTGAGATTGAGAAAAGTTTATTCAAGTGAAGTGTAATACAATTAAGACTAGTTCAAAACAAAATAAAGTGATACAGATTTTTACGTATAAAAAGAACCATTGTTCTTAAGCTTATAGTATAAAATATAAAGCATAAAGTAAAAGCAAAAAAGCACAAAGCTTAATGCATAAAGTATAAAGTATTAAGCAATATACTTTAAAATTGAACTTACTATATTCATGTTGTGCATTTTCTAAATTAATGAAAATTATATAGATACTTAATGATTAGTGCAACTAAATAGTCAAATGCAATAAAAAAGCTAATAAATTTAGAAGAAAGTACAATAATACTATGATATCAAATACTTTTTTATGTTAACATATAAGAATAAAACCTATATTGTTATAAAGACACAGTTCTAAACTTTACATTTTAACTTTAAAAAATTTTATTCATTAAGAAACATTTTGAAAAAATCTAATATGAAGTTGCGAATATAAATATATATTTTTGTGAATATGAAATAATGAGTTTTATTAGTTTTTAATTTATTAGTTTGATTTATCCTATAAGATTTGTATATATTTTTTTTTTATATTTAGATGCGTAAAAGTTGTATATTTCATATTTCATTTTTTTTATATTATTATATTAAATTTTTTTATTATTATTAATGTATTATTATAATAAAAATTTATATTTTTTATGCATCTAATAATATCATGAATCTTTTATAACTCTTATTTTTGCTTCAGTAACAAGTCCTACTATAAACATAATTGCTAATAAATTTTGAGTATTTGGTGAAAAATAATAAAGTGAAATTTTTTGTTTTACATAACTATGTATTACTAGATCAGTAAGCATATAATTTATTAATTCTTTTAGCTTTCTAAATTTTAGCTTTCAACTACTTTTACTGTATATACTGCTAGCTTAATCAAACCTGATTTTTAAGTCTTTTTAGTATTTGACTTACAAAAAAATTTTACCACATCATTTTCAGTAATTTCACAATTACTATTACCTATTTTCTCAACAATATCTAATAAATAAAAAATATTTTCTATGCAATTTTTATGAATTAGCTGTTCTTTTATCTGATTTTTACAATTATCATATTTTAAACAAGGAAAAGGAAGATTATTCTCATTTCAAAAATAATAATAACTAATTATTTGGCTTCTATATTTATATTAAGTTTGGTAAAATAAGAGGACTTCACAATTTTATGTATTCTATTATTAAGATAATATTTTTATTCATGTTCTTGATCAATCATATTTTGAATATTAAAATAGCTATTTATTAAATATAATTATTATTAATATAAAATATCAAAATTTTCTAATTTTTTGTATGTTATTTATTTCTTTCATAATAAATTTTTTTTTTGATAATATATAACTTTGTAAAATAGAATTTAATTTAACTTAAATACTCATATTTCACAATTTTTAGCTAAGATTCCAAAGTTTGTTCTTAAATTTTTTTTTATTGAATAAAATATAATACTTCTAGATTTATTACTATTACATCCTGCTCATCTAATTTGTTAAACTAAATTCACTATATATAATGAAAAGTGTTAAATAAAAGGCATATATTATATATTATGTATAATGATATTATTTACTCATGTTCAAAAAAGCCATACAATGTATTACTAGATAAATATCAGAAGAATTAATACCTATGCTAAATGCATTTATTCCAATTATTATTTTGATTTTATGATCTTTCTAATATAACATAATAATTTCACGTTATTTATCCTCTAATACTTTATAATATATAACTAAATTTTTATCTAGCAAAAGTAATTGTAATATTATAAAAAGATCATCATAACCTATTTGTATTGCACAGTAAATAATGTCCTTTCATTTTTATGATTAAGAAAAAAATTTTTCTTCTTTGTTATCATTTTTATTACTTATAAACTAGAGAATAATTTTAAAAACTATTGTTAAATCTGAAGAATAAGTGTAATAAAAGGACTAATTATATATTAATTCAAATTTTGAGCATAAATGCTTTAGTATAGTTTTTGTAATTAAATTTAAGAAAAAACAGTTCAAACTTGAAAACATAATTCAATATAAGAGTTAAAATTACCAGTATGAAAAATAAAGCATAAATATCAAGGATTAGTAAAATTATATTATTTTATAAATTTTTGAATTTAATATATTCTGCATATTTACATACCTAATCAATTTTAACTTTAACTATTAGCATAATTTTCTGCTATATACTATATAAAAATTCTAATAATAAGTTTATACATTATAATTTTAGCTTTTAAATAAGCAGTATTATTCATTAAAGATACATTTATATATTGTAAAAAAAAATAGTTAATACTTAAGAAAGATTAACTCACAGCTATTTAAAGAAATATGCAAAGGTTCTATCATCAAAAAGTAAGACAAAATTTCTTTTGTAATTTTAGAAGAACTATTATGAATAAAATATCAAAATATAGCAGTTCTTAAATAAATTTGACTAGACTAATCAGCTACAATCAGAATAATATTATTTAGAAATTATTACATTAGTAGTATTAATATAAGATTATACTGAATGAAGATCATTTTCTAAAAGATCTGTAAGTATCACATTTTTTACTAATTAAGCATTTTTTTTTCATTTAAACAAAAATTAAAATTATAAACTATTAGTTTCTTAAGTTTTGTATTATTATCTAAAGAACAGAATCTCTAATACTAATTATAAAAGAATAAATATAAGGACATAAAATAGTTATCAATATCAGTTTTGATTAATAAAATATCAATTAATGCAGGATTATGAATATTTTATTTTGGTATTATCAGTTTATTCTCTATTAGATTAAGTAAAATAGTAATAAAATGTAATACAGTTAATATTATAACTGGATTAAGCATTCTTTTAGTATAGATATTATAGTAATTATTAATATTTAAAATTATAGTATTATTAGCATTTTCTGAAAGCCTTAATTTTATAATCATTAGATATTTATTAGATATAATATTCTTATAATAAGAAATTGTATAAGATATCATTAACAAACTAGTATTATTAAAGTATCAATTGTTGAATTAGGTATTTTGGTTAAATAAATACATTTCAAAATCTCTTTTTGCATTATTAACAAATTTATTTCTAATATCATAAATATAATAATATAAAAATACTAATTGTTTTGATATTTTTTCTATGGTATTTTTGTTCTTTATTGATAGATTAGTTGATAAGTGTAATTTATCAAAAAAATACTTTAACTAATTATCTTCTGATTCTATAAGCATACAAAGTTTTTTAATTTCTAAATTGATAGTAAAAATTTAAATTCTCTTTCATAAAGAATTTTTGTAATTATCCTTATAGTTTGCGAAAAAGACAAAATATTATTGTTAAAAGTTTTTGGCTTTTTTTAATAATGCCATTTCTAATACATATTGCTGAAATTCAAAAGATGTATGAATAACAATTGTATTATAATAGTTTATACATATAATATCATTTTTATTTAATATATTCAAAAAGTATTTTACTGGTCTTTTTATGAAATAATACTATACTAGTAACTGTTCATCATATTTCAGACTTTTTTTGCAAATTTATATAATATATAGTTTTTAAGTTTCTTTAATATACTCATAACTTTATTATTAAGTTAACATCTTTTAGATTATTCAAGATTAATTTTGAAAATATCATTTTAACTTCTAAAAAAGTTATTTAAAAAAATTTTTATGCTGTAAAATCTTATTTTCTGAAAAGTACTTTAATTGCTGATTTGTTACTCAACAGTATAAAATGATTAGTAATCTATAATAATTTTAACAAATTTTATATATTTAAAATTTTTACTTCTAAATAGTTTTTATATTAGCTTATTAATATGCTGAAATCATATAAATCAATACAAATTTACTAGAAAAAGATATTTTATTACCTGAGTTGCATTATGAAATATTTGCATGAAATTAGTAAATTCAAAAAGTATCAAAAAATAAAGAAACTCAATTTACTCTATTAATTGTTTTTTATCATTTTAATATGCATATATCTTGTGAACTTAATAGAAAAAATTTTTAATTTCTGTTGTTCAAAATGAAATAAGTTTATTTCAATCAGGATTTATTTGTATTTATAAGGAAAAAAGTTCTAAAATTTTATTATCAGCGTCTACAGTAATTAATACTTTATATTGAGAAATTTTTGGTTAAGGAACTGAATATTCTGGACTGGTAGCAATAGGATTATATGATGAACAAATTATAATGAATTAATTTAAAGTATAACATTTTTTTCAATATATATTTGATTACAATTATTTATAATAATAGTAACAAATATTGATTATTTAATAAATAATAGATGTCATGATATAGGTAATGGTTTATATTTTCACTTCTGATAAAATTTTAAAAAAAATATTCTTTTACTTTCTAACTAATTAAAAATAATATGTATATACTTGAAATTATTATGAATCAAAAATAGTAGCTAAATATGAAAATGAAACTTCAACTGGTATATGGAAAAAGTATGGTATTAATAAAAAAATTTGATAGAAATGATTTATTTGAAGTAACAAATTCAACAATATAAGTTATTTTACAAAATTCACTAAAAAAAATCCTTCATATATACAAATCAAATGAATACAACAAATCTGAAATTCTACAGAAAACATTTGATCAAAGTATAAAATTTATAAATTAGAATAAAAATATTATTAGATTAATATAATTTATTTATTGATTGGTTATATCAAGAAAACACAATTATTCAAATTCTCAAAACGTTATAAAATATTTATCCACTTAATTATCAAATTCAGAATAAAGAATTATGTGCATAAAAAGCTATATTTATAACTTATAGATATACTAATTTTCTCCTTTTAAAAAGAAAAAATTGTGAAATTGAATTTTGAAATAATACATCAGATCCAAATACTGATAAAGAAACTTTGTTGAATCTATATAATACAGAATTAATTAATTTAGAAAATTTTCTAATAATTATAGACAAAAGTGCAGATTTTGAGAAAACTTTAGATGTATTCTAAATAATAATAAATGTAGTTCAGATAGAAGAATCAGAATTTTGTGTCAATAATTACTAAAAATTTCATTATAAAGATCTTTGAGAAAAACTTCAGGTAATTATATTTATATGAAATTTATTATTATAAACTATTTACTTGCTAAATCAACATATAGATAGACTCAACTAGTATTAATTTAGCATATAAACATGTTAAGATTAACGATCTAAATGTATTAGCCAATATGGAACTCAAACAAAAAATTTGTCATATGTCTTAAATTAAAGAGAAGAATTTGAGCTATTTTTTCAAGATAAAAATAATATAACTATAAGTTCATATAGAGTAGATCCTAAGACTAATCTACCAATATTATATTTATAAGATCAAAAAAAGCATTATAAGCTAAATTTGAAGAAATATATCCAAATGGAATAAATAAATTCTCATTTATAGTATGATTAGTTAATTGTAATTATATTAAATATTGAGAGAATTTAGATTATTTGTGTTCAATATATAATGAATATGAATTTAAAACCTTTTAAAATCTAATAGCAATTACACAAAGTACTTTTAATGACAAACAAGTATTAGATAGTATTATGAATCATATTGAGAAACTAAGAATTCATATGAAAAGAAATTTTGAAAGTGAATTGATAATCAATTAAAATGATATAATATCACATAATAATTATATAAATCACTATTTATTATATGCATTCAGAAAATATAAACAATCTTATACCTTACACTATGCTAGTTATGATAAATTTTTGTATTTTTTATTTTTTAAGTTTATATATTCCTTTTGAACAAAAAGTTCAACTTGATTAAATAAAAATATAACTTAAATATTATTTGTCTCATTAAGTCTAAAAAGTTTTTTAAATGTACAGTTTAAATCATTTTTAGCACAACTTGACAAAGATGATGTAATTATTATAGTAGATTATAAGATGAGAATATTATCAAAATCTACATATGAAACTAAAGAACAATTTTTCAGTAAAAGAGAATAGACCTTTTACACCATTATAGTATTTACAAAAAAAGAAAATAAAATGAAATTAGATATATGTGCATATGATCATTTATTAATAAACATAAAATAAGATGTCTAGTTTACTGCATTATCTTTTAAAGCTACTTTTAGATCAATGAAAAAGTATTAAAATAAATACGTATAATTTCTGATAATAAATCTCATTATCATAATTTTAAACTAATGTCAATTGTTGCATATTAGTATGATTAGTATCAAATAGAGGTTTGTAGTTAACTATTTATAGAACCTGGTAAAGTTAAAATAACAATAGATTCGCATTATACTTCAGTAAGTTTTCAATTATTATTATAATTATTATAATAAAAATTTTTTATTTACTATATATTTTATTCTAGATTTTATATGTAATAAATGATATATTCAAATTAGATATAATATAAAAGAAGGCTAAGACATAATGAAGGCAGGAAAAAATCTTGCAGGTACATATTTTGTAAATATTGAACCAAATAGGACTGAAATTAATGAAAATTCTGAATAAATTAAAATACAAAAAAAAAGAAACCTAAAATTAAGACAATTTCAGGAATTTCTAAATACTTTTATTGGAAATAACCTGTTGAAAAACATTAGCAGGTTATATTTAAGCTTGCCATTTTTTACATATTAGCTCTTGGAATCAATTTTCTTTAGCTATGATTTCTGATTTATGTAATAGTTCTATTGTATAATCATAATTTACTATATCAATATACATTCAAGCATCTTCAAATTGGATAATGCCTATGTCTCAACTAAATGAAATTAGTTTTTATTATTTGCTAGCTTTGTAAATAATAAGTAATTTTTTTCATTATAATAGATAATACAAGTTAGCTGAATAATATTGAAAACAATTCTCGTAAGTATTGATAAATATATTTTTATAAATAAAATTAATACTCTACTAATATAATTTTTTTAGTTGTTACAAATAGAAATCCAAATTGACAACATAAGTAAGTATTGAATATTAGTGTTTAGTGTTTGCTTTTAGCAACAACAACTAATACTTTTTTAATAAGCTTGATTGCAATAGATGAAAGTTTTCAGTTACCAAAAGGGTGGATGTTAAAAGAGAAACAAATCTTTGGAGGCAAAGGAACTGGAAAAAGAATGATTAAAAAGATAAAAAGTTTATTAAAACTTTTTTTTTAAATGGAAATATAAATACATGAGACAAGCTCATTGCATAAGAAATGCATGACGAGTTGTTAAAATATGTAGAATCAGGAGGAATTGAAGAACAAGACATACCAAAAACTTTTACAATTCAGGACTGGATTAGTAGGTATGCGACAGCATTAAAAGACCAAGCTACAAAGACGGCACTTCAAAATAAGAAATAATTATACCTAAATTCGTCTGTTTTACAACAAAAAAAGTCGTGTTATTTTGTTAATTTGAGAAAAAATATTGTATAGTTTGTAAAGAAAACATTGTAAAATTTATAGTAAGCTTGTAAAATAGATACAGACAGTGGCTATCAAAAGTATTGCATCACTTTCACATTAAATTTAAACTATAAATTATGAAAGCTAGCATAACAAATTTATATTTGTTTTAAATCCTGAATCTTTAACATTATTTTAAAATAATTTTTTTGCTTAATTCATAGTGTAATTTCGTATAAATTGTTTGATTTACAAAATATTGG